TCGATCTCTCCTGTTTAATTCTAGGGCTGCTCTGGGCCCTCATGGCCGGTTTGCTGCTGGCACCAGTTAAAGGCCACCAACAGTAGCGTTACAAAAATCTCCTACTGACCCCTCTCCCTCTTTCTCTCTCTCTGCCCTGAAAGCCCATGTCAATGCATATTTTTTTGCCCTTTATCCCTCCATCAATTGACTCACTCAGTAGAAAAAGGACAACAGAGACAGGGGCCAACAAAGGCCTGGGGGGGGCATGTGGTCCCTGCATTATAATCCCTATAGAACTATGTCAGCGAAAAAAACAACTCCTGTCACACACAATGCAGAGGGAGAGAGAGAGGTGGCAAGCGTGCAACAAAAATACAATGCACCCAGATGGGTAAAGGAGCAACTTTTTGTTATTTTAAAGACTTTGAGCTTTATTTTGAAAAGTACCTGTAGCTGGGATAAAATTCTAATAAAGTGGCTTCTTCAAATGTGATAAATAAATCATCTGGGTTACTCTTCAAAAACGTTTTGACACAAATGCTTACTTTTTGGTTTTGTGCAGTTTGTTTACGTGGACACATGACTAAATCAGATCAGAAAAATAAAGAGTCAAAAACAAGAGTGACAACACACCCTGCACTGCAAATACTTCTGGAAGAGCATTGACGGAGCTGCTGTTGTCCCAAATACAGTCCCCTTGGCGAGCTACGAGCGACCAGCCACCAACACAGAAAGAAACCCCGATCGAAATTCAAATTCCAAAGCCAAAACTGGACAAAGTGAAATAAAATGGAAGTCCACACACCAACCGTAATCCTGGCGGCGTGTTGTTCATTCCCCCCTCTTTTTTCCACTCAGGGATCCTAAACTCATGCCAGTTGCGGGACCTTGCTGGACAGAGAGCAGAGTCAAGCCGAGCGGGATTAACTTGGGTCTCTTCCGGTCACTTCTTTCAAAATAATCACAGGTGCTCGACAAGAACGGCCTAAACTGGAGAGAAACAAATAAAAAGTAATCCATCTCTGTGGAAATCAGGTCGGTCCAGCTGTTTGTTACTGCTACTGTGGAAAATAAAAATTAAGTGGCTGATAACATCACTCCACTATTTGAAACTATACTGTAAAAGTGAAAAGCAGACAGTCACGTAGGCTATTTATACTGAAAACAAAAAATAATATTGAGCCACAAACAGAAAAAATAAAACATGAGTAAATACATGAATACTTTCTAAAAATCCTCCTTTTAAAAAAACAACAACAAATAAAACGATCCTCAGTTTGCCAACACGAGAAACTGCATGTGATGCTTTTATTTTAAAGGTTCAGTCCCAGTGCTTCCGGCGTAACCCGTACTACTTATGGGTCGCTTGATCCAGCTTTGGCAGCCAACTTCTGCTGGCTCGTAGCGGCTGTGCGCTCCGGGGCAGCAGGACCAACTCCGTGCGTAAAAGCGCCACGGCTCAGACTCCACGCGACTGTCAGCAAGAAGGTAAACGTGGTTACGTCACGCACACATAACTGATAGGTCTGACGGGAGGTCAGGTAACTGAGTCTGATGTTGGCAACTGAGTCTTTTAATACCAGACGTGCAATACTTTAAAGAGAGAAACAATAAAAACCAAGCATCCTGCAACCATTACAACAGAACACCACCTACTGTAATAAATAAAGTTCAAAGATATTTTTGTCTTTTCAAAGCAACGTTACGCTCATAGGAACACAATGGGTCAGATCTGGTATGGGTACAATCCCAAAGGGCAACGCAGAAATATCAGTTAACTACGGACTAGTTTGGCCACAGAGCACAGGGGACTGTCCTTGTGCTCTGTAGCCAAACTAATCTATAGCTGTGCCACTACTGCACAGCTCCTCCTACACCTGCTCTCCTACAGTCCAGTTCCTTTGAATCTTACAGATGTATGAGAAACTCTGGAACATGCCGTCACTACCACATTGACTGAAACCAACACTGGACTAAACCTGCATTATTAATATTTTCTGGTGTTAAAAGTTTGTTCACATCAGTTTAAAAAAAAACACAGCAGAAAAAACACCTTCTGGTTGAATCACAAAAAACAATCTGATTTCTAATAACTCTTACTTTTAAATGATGCATCTCAACCTGCGTCACACGGACAGTATGTGGTCAAAAATGGGTTTTTGAAAGCTGAGACCTTCATGATCAAATTCCAGCTCCTGTGGTGCCGTCTCCTGCTATAAGGAAACGCTGCCATCTGTGACCGTGGGTGGCACTTTAAAGATGAATTCACAAAAAGCCAGTTTATTGCGATATTCAGTTTGCAAATGTACCTCTGAGTATGACAGGCTTAGAGATACTGGATGAAGTTCAGATGGAGATTCTTAAACATATTCTAACCCTGGGCAGGTGTCCTTGTGTCTAGAGAGCCTCGTTCTGCCTCTGTCTGCTGAACACCAACAGTTACTGATTACACGGGAGGGGAAGTCGAAGGCTGAGCGAAGAAAAGACAAGGTCTTATATAAATCAGTAATTCATACAGACATTAATATAAGGCAGCATAAAGTGAAGCAGGTTTTAAACTGCCAACACACTGTGAAAAACAGACAGAGATACTCTTGGCCTGTAAAAGTGAACTTTTAAGTCCATTTGTGCTCATTGAAGCGCCAGAATCACAAGCACCAGATGGCGCCTTGATCTTAAAACCTCACAGTACAGGGAGAAAAGTTAGCAAGTAAAGTTAGTAAGTACGGAAAAAGTAAATTAAAGACCTCATGAATCTTGTTATGAATCATAATTCCCTCTGTTTCTACCGTGAGCCTTATCTTTGCCAGACCACCAGTCCATGTATTAACTGACTATTTCATTTGATTCAGAGGTGTCAGTGACCAAAAGCACTTATGGGAACTGGACCGACCCCGGAGCTGTTAGAGCTGCTTTTTGTGTGACTTTATCCCCGAACCCACCACTGTTTCCCCTGTTGTTTTTCATTAAGTGCATTCATCTTATTTTCTAATGAAACAACAGAACCTGAAGACGAAGGGAAGAGCCGACTGCTCCAATAGAGTTTTCACAACATGCAGCATCAAAACAAAAGGAATGATGTGGTTTGAAATGGGAGAAGAGAACGGAAATCAACACAAAACTGACTCCATTTTCTTTCCCTCAACATCCCTGACAGAGATGCAAACATCCAGGAGCAGAGGACGCAGTGTTGTGGGAAACCTGGACATCTAATGATACGGTGAATTAGTCCACACAAAGGAGACAAACATGCAGGTGTTAGCAGAAGATAAGCCCATCAATATATGTAATCCCACTCTGCTGTGGATTTTCATGCTTCTTCTGGACTCCCGGATGTGAGTTAAATCTCATTCACCACCTACCTGCAGCTTTTCAGGCCCGATCACTGGCAGGGTTTTGTACAAAAATCTTGGAAATGCATTGCAGCTTTTTGCAGGATCACATCTTAAAAGACTGTGTGACATTAATGTTCCATGTCTGCCAGTCTTCAGCCAGTCAGCTAACCTGCAGCTTGATAGCCACCAGCCCTCACTCTGGCCCAGTGGCCTCCATCCTGCATCCCTGCCTGCCATCCTCTCTGCCCTGCAGCGCCACATAACCTCAAACTCTTCACTGCCCAGAGCTACAGAGCTGCGACCAGGCCTGTCAGGTTCCCAGTCACACCTGTTCCTGGCTCCTAGTCGGCGGACGGGCTCCCAGAATCCCCATCTACAGAGCTGTATTCTAGAGTTCCCGAACCATGGCGGTCTCCAGTTCCTGCGCAACAACAGCAATCTCCTGTTCCTGCAGTTCCTGTGGTTGCTGCAGTCTCCGGTTTCCCTGGCTCCACCTGCGCGACTACCAGTCATTGCCCTCCAGTTCTGCAGCCCTGTCGCTGGCTTCCTGCTCTGCTCTCCAGCCGCCGGTCTCTGCTTCTACTCTCCATCCTCGTCGCTGGCCTCCACCTATGCCGCCGGCTTCCAGGTCATCTTCCCGGCTGTCCTCCGGTACTGCTTCGCTCTTCGGCCCTGCATTCCTGGTTGCCCTCCAGACCTGCTCTGCTCACCTGCCCAGCCTCCTGCTCCGCCCCTGGAGCTGAGTGAATGACAAACTTTTATCAGTCGCCAGTGTCAATTGCAGGTTTTTAAAATGTTTAATGAAGACTTAATAGAGACAGATCTTTATAAATCACACGCTACGTGATTTTATCTGACACAGTGAGCAGAGATAAACGGAAATATAAAGACCATTTACTTCAGAATAGGAGCAGATTCATCCCCAACATCCAAATGAGAAGGAGGCTATTTTAGTCGTGCATAGAAATTAACCAACCCAGCGTCTCTCCCTCTCTCTCTCGTCCTCACACACATGCTATTAATTTATTATGTAAATTTAAAACAGTTTGGACAGCATCATTTATTCCACACCAGCCCTCAGTCCCCCCCCCCCTCTCTCTCCATCACCCCCAGTATCTCTCTGTCAATCTCCCAGTTTCTCTCTCCATGTCTTCCTCTCTCTACCTCCCCCTCTCTCTTATTATCTCATTATGTTCACATTGTCCCATCTGTCTTGTTCCTCTGTCTTCCCTCCCTTTGTCTCATCTACTTTCCTCCTCATGCATGGCCAAAAGTACAAGGACATGATGATGATGTGCAACATGTCATTCCAAACCCATGGGTTTTAATCTGCTGCTCTATCAGCCTCCAGTCTTCTGGGCTGACGTCAGGACCAGTCAGGTTCTTTCACACCAAACTGGTAAAAAGCATTTTGTTATGGGACTGCTTTGTGCACAGGGACACTGTCATGTTGGAACAGGAAAGAGACTGACACAAACTGTTGACACTAATGTTGGAACAACAATGTTTCTGAAATAGCAATGTGATTTAAAATCCCTGCAACTAAGGCTTCTAGAACAAACCACATATTTTTCTGCCATATTGTGTATCTATCTCTCTGTCTGTCTGTCTATCCTAACCTTTTATTCTTTCTCTTTACTCCCTCTCTTCTGCTCTCCTGTTTTCTATCTCTCTCACATACAGAGGGAGAGCGAGGGAGAGAGAGAGTCAGTCTATGTTACCAGTGTCAAAGAAGTGCCTCCTTCTCTGTAGCGTCAGTCGCCTCTCACCCTTCAGTCACTAGTCAGCTCATCAGCTGGTAGAAAAAGTTTATTTCTCTCTCGGCAGCTTGCGTCAAAGAGAAAACCCCGGTTGCCACTGCGTCTTTACGCACGGAGGATCCCGTTGCGCGCCCTGCAGCCAGAACCCCCTGTCCAGTTGACTCATCGCCGGAGCGCTCCTCTGTGGATATTCCCGCTCCGCGCAGGAAGAGCGCACCCCGGCGATGGACGACGAGTTCCTCTCCAACTTACCCCCGGCCCTGTCCGGAGACTCCGAGGCTCTGAGTCCCAACTCCACCGAGGAGCCCGGCTGGTGGGCGTCCTCGGACGGCGGGGAGACGGTCCACTTCGCCGTGCGCTGCGTCATGACCTCGGTATACATCCTGATCATCACCGTGGGTCTCCTGGGCAACATCACTCTGGTGAAGATCTTCATCACCAACAGCGCCATGCGCAGCGTGCCCAACATCTTCATCTCCAGCCTGGCGGCGGGGGACCTGCTGCTGCTGGTCACCTGCGTGCCCGTGGACGCCTTCCGCTACTTCTCCGAGGAGTGGGTGTTCGGCGAGGCGGCGTGCAAACTCATCCCCGTCATCCAGCTCACCTCGGTCGGCGTGTCCGTGTTCACGCTCACGGCGCTCAGCGCGGACAGGTAGGAGGAGTGGACCAGTTTATCCTCATTTTTGGTATCCTAAATTTCTTGCAAATCATTCAGAAAATGACTTTGTGAGACTTTTCCTACATTCCTCCTATATTCTAATGATATTTCCCAATTAAAGGAATGAAATCCTAATAATTTTTGAAAGGACTGAGACAGCTGTTAATCTTTCATACTTCTTTTGTTTGGTCATTCAGTGAGCATTCCTTGATTTACCAGTATCTGTAATATCTTTATATAAATATAATATTAATAAATAAATAAATTGCAGTATAAAACTCATTTATTTTAAGTACTAGATTTTCACTGCAGGTCTTTCACTTCTGATCTGAAAACTTCCTCCGCCGCTGATCTCAGATTAACATCATTCCCATGATGCTGAGAAGCAGAGTGAGAGCAGTGTGAGTTAAATAGCTGCAACCTGAATCACATCTTCACTCATCTTCCTCTTCCTGCAACTCCCTATGTCCCCTCTCCTCTTTTTGGTGCAAGGTATTATAAGTACATGAGTACAATTTTAAGGTACTTGTACTTTACTTAGGTATTTCCATGATACTGTATACTTCTACTACTCTATATTTATGAGGAAAATATTGGACTCTTTACAATCACTGCAATTATTTAACAGTTTAAGACTGTGGTCTTATTCTATAACTCGTTTTTATCTGGCTTTAACATTAGCTTCATGTTTTGGGTAGTGTCCTTGCGTCCTTCCTTCTCTCACCTCATGGACATGCAGTGGTCACAGCAGGACTCTCTGCTCTGACTGTGATCATGAAGACAAATTGAACTGCAGCTGTTTTGACTCACTGTACCTCAGCAGAGCGGCTCCTAAAGAAAATCTAATGCACATTTTCTCACTGCAAGAAAATATCGGAAGGACATCTAATTAGGAGGAGACGTTGATTCCCCAGCAGGTGTCACATGCTGGACGTTCTGCGTCGCTGGGTAAAGAGATATTCTTTCTAGATTAAACAGTGAGTCAGTTTTAAAATGACTGTTTAATGAATTTGTGATTTACTTGGAGCTGCACACAAAGAGTCTCTGGAGCCTTGCACGAACTATGCTGCATAATTACATCTGCTTAAGCTGATTTGTGGTGCAGCATTGATTCATAACAGATAATGTCCATTTCTCGAAGATGATCAGAGACAGCAAAGGAAAAGAAGCAGGAAGGAAACACCGAAGAGAAGAGTGATAAAGCTTTGCAGGATTACAGCAAAAAGAAAACAATAGAAGACAATAGAGCAGAAAATAATCCAGTAAAATAAAAATGAGATTGTTGCGGGAAATGCTTTCACATTTTCCTCCCTTTACACATTGAAATATGATGGAAGTGATGTGTGTTTGTGTGCATTTCTATCTTTATGGGGACTAAAGATTTCACATTTCTTCAACAAAATGATATTTTTGGGAAGTGTGGACACAAGGAACATTTAGAAAAGTGAGAATATTTTTATAAAGCTTCACTCGTATTTGGAAAATAAGGTCATTTTTGGAAAGTTAGTCAGGACATTTGTTAAGATACAAGTAAGGTCATTTTCATTCACAGTCCTCACAGGCCTTTTTAAAGGTGAATACTTTAGGGTTAGCCTTTTAATTAGATTCAGGCTAGATATTGCATTATGTCAACGAGGGTCCTCATTGTATAGAAATACAATTGTGAGTCCCTCAACAGCTCATTCATGTCCCTGAACATGAAATATTTATATACTCTGTCATGTTTAAGGACCTCTGCTCAGCTCTGAGCCCAGTCAATCATCGAAGGTTATAACTCCAAAAGAAGTCTCTGTGTGTGCGTCAGAAATATTCAGAGAATGATGAAGGATAAGGTGTGTGTGTGTGTGTGTGTGTGTGTGTGTGTGTGTGTGTTACTCTCAGCCGGGATAAGAGATAGATTAAATGATTATGATGAGGCAAAATTTCATGACAGAATGATGAAACAGAAAATTCAAATTGAGAAATTGAACCTGGCAGAAAGAAACGCAGAGTGAGAGAGAGACCGGAGAGAGTATTACATGTGCTGGAGGATCAGTGTTAGCCTGCTGTCATTAACTGGTTTGATCGTTTTTCAGTTGGTGTATTTTACATCATCAGTCTGGTTGGAGTCTTGATGCTGGAGGCTGCTGGGAAGGTGGCGTTCACATGTGAGCGTCGGGAGCGTCAGCAGCTCCATGAGCAGCTTGCTGAGTTAATTAAGAAGAGAGCAGTGGTGGTTTTGGGCTTTCTTGGCTGGGTACCAAGGGCAAAAGCAGTCACCGTACCCCCATTCAAACCTGGGCCTACAGGGTGCTGAACCAGGCTCGTTGGCGTCGCAGTCAACACCGTCACAGAGAAGGAGATAAATGACTGAACAGAAAGCGAGAGTCAGGGGCCAGGCGACGTCATGAATGAATAATGAAGAAAATAAAAGCACAGCATTCCTCCTGATGGAGTCAGGAGGAATAATAAGGGGAGTGGTAGCAGTTTTACTCGAAGTATAAATAGTAAACATAGCTCATCAGCTGAAACAGCAGAAGCAGGAGTATTACAACCAATAGATGTAGAAGTACTTTTTAGCTGTTACAGTCTAATATGTAAGGTGTAATTATCAGCAGGGTTAGCAGCTGTATCAGTAGCGTTCAGACAGCGTGATTAAAGTCTGACGGCTGGTTTCAGCTCATCACAGCTGACATCAGTGTGTTGTAAGACGCCCAGTAACAGAGGAATAACTGTCAGTGTCAATGAAAGAAGCAAGTGTGTTCGTTATGTTACAAAATGGGAAGTGTGTGTGTGTGTGTGTGTGTGTGTGTGTGTGTGTGTGTGTGTGTGTGTGTGTGTGTGTGGAGGATGGGGTGGTGTTTAAGTTTTCTAAATGTAGTCTTGCCATAACCGGAATCTTTCCCTCAGCTCGACCAAAGTGTGGCTGCCGAGAGCAAGAATTGAACATGGTTATTGGGCGTTAAGACGTTGAACGGGGTCAATCTGGGGTTTTTGTCACACTGTGTCTGTTCTGCTTTGTTCATTTAGTTTTCAGTCCTGTTATTCGTAGTCCCTTCTGTATCTGTTGTTTAGTCTGTGTTTTGGTTCCATGTCTTAGTTCCCAGTCCGGTGTTACATTTACATTCCTGTCTGTGGACATGGATGGCCGCCATGCAAAAAGAAATGTCATCACATTAATACTCACCCTTTTTAAACTGAAATTATGGTTTTGTTTGTATGGAAGTTCCAAATATGGTACGACAAAAGTTATTTTAAAGGGACAGTATGTCAGAATTGGCCACCTGTCAAATTCATACTCCAAACAAATAGGGGACAGCATGTTGCCATAGTAACCGCTAACTGTAGCTACCGTAAGCTAGTTAGCTCAGTTAGCCATGCAGCTAGCAGTCCTATTGCTCGCTGACTCTGCCCGGACTGGGAGCTCGGAGCACTGAGAGAGAGGGAGGTCAGCGCCCACCTCCTGAGACCTAAGAAGGGGTTACAGCGCGGTCAGCCCCCAGGAGCCAGGAGCCAAACCCGGAAAAACCCACCTCGGTGAAGGAAGACTGGATGCTACGGTGACTCACTACTGCAGCTTGAGATACAGAATAGTATTGCAAGAAAGGATCGGCTAGGGGCTAGCTGGTTAGCATGCTAACCTGAGCGGATATCTTTGATTCAATACATACAGAACGTCAGAACTGTGCTTTCTTCAAATTCTGTTGATAATTTTAGTTAGAAACATAAAGCTATGCTCATGTAAAGCAAAACTGCGACGCTGCAAAATCAGAACGCTCTCGACCTGCTAAACTGCTTTCATGACACGAGTGGATGTCACAAAATTTCACGCAGCTATATGCTGACAGAGATACTGATCGTCTTGGTTCACTGTCCTATTCAATAACTCTGCAATGCAGACAAACACACAGCGGTTCAGTCCTGTTTTCATCATCTCAGAATTATTTCAAGGACCAGATCTGCAAAAGTTCTGAGGGAAATCCGGAAACTGCTTTCATAACTAGTCGGTAAGATTACTGTAACCCTCTGCTCTCTGCTGCCATCGTCTGAGCCCTGAGAGGTCTAGCCCCAGCAGATCTTTTAGGGCCCTCCGTCCCTTCCCGCTCCCTGGGATCCTCGGATGTGCTGTTCCTCGTTGTCCCAAGGTCCAGATTTATACTGAAAGTTGATGGAGGCTTTGCAGTTGGAGCTCAGAGTCTGTCTGAGGAGATCAGGGCTGCAAACTCTGTCTTTTAAATCACTTTTAAAACTTGCTTTTTTTTAAATGGCGCCTTGTTGATTGATGCTTTATGATGTTTGTGTGCTTCACTTCCTGTCTCTGCGTTTTCCCCCGTTCTGTATCATGTTTTTATTGTGTCATTTATTCTTCTTTCCCCTTGTGTGTGGAGCATTTTCATGTCTTTCAGTTACTCCTTCTTTGTATTATCTGGGGTTTTTCTAAGCTTCCTGTATTAGTGTTCTGCCTCGTGTGTCTTGTCTAAACTTTGCTTCCTGTCTGTGTTGAGTGTTTCCACCTGTGTCTCGTGGATCACCTCCCTCTTGTGTACTAAAGTCTATTGCTGTGTCTCAATTCGGGTACTTCCTAACATGCAGTACACTGTGTACACTATGTACTTTCTTGCTTAGTGCGTTAATTTTGACAGAGTAGTGTTGTCTCAAATCAAACACTGCTGTTTTGTACTAACTGGAAATGCCCCCCAGCGCAGAGCCTGCTAACGACAGTCCCCTTTTCATACTATGTTGGTTGTTTATTTATTTATTTTTTTTAAGTTTCACAAGCCAAGAATTTTCTGTACATCACGAGCCAGATGTCTCTACGAAGTACGCAGTACGAACATTTAAACTATCTTCCCGCTGTGTTGTCCTCTGCCGTTGTTGCTGCAGAGGTCTGCGTGACTGCGGGACCAGAGGGCTCTCTAGCCTCGCTAGCTCCTCCCGCGGGTTGGCGTGAGCTTCGTTCAAGCACATTTTTGATCCGCCGTCACTTTTCGTAAAACTGTCAGTATTCGACATCT